ACTTATTATTTCATTGATAATATTATAATACAATATAATAGAATATTCGCGAACCGCGCAAAACCGCCATCTCAGAGAACCACGCGTGAGAACGCTCGCCGGAAACGCGAAAACGCTAACGAAAGGATTCGACTTTGAACCTCCTTCGCTTGCACTTGGACTTTGGACGCCACAAAGAACCTCCATGACCATACATGGTCATGTCGCTAGGCGATCCCCTCCAAAACATCCCCAAAACCGAGGGAATAAAAGCCATTCACCGCGAATCCGCGGCGGACAGTCGTTAATAAAAAATCATACAACAAACGTTAGTAGTGCGAAACCAAGGGTTAACCGCTATACTACGCGACGAATCACCGACGAAATTGCTAAACACTCTAAAAGATAAAAACGAAGCGGAAAGGACGACAAAGAGAGGGCTCGAAAGAAACTGATTAATATACAATTATTAAAAAATAATAATATATTTAAGAGAAAGATTGTATATTTAAAATAAAGATTTTAAAAACGGCAACTAAGGATCCCGTAGTCTTTCTCCCGGCTACCCCACATCCCGTACTGCGCCGGGCACAACAAAATCAAAGGAAGTAAAATTAATATTTTTTTTAGGGACTGCCCGACCGTTTCTTTGTTAACAACGAGAGAGACTTGTTTTGATTTTCGAATTTTTTGTCACTGTTATGATCTTTAAAATTTTTCTCGCTTCCCCTATTGTTTGAACTTTTGAGTTTCTTTTTCTTTCCGCACAGTTATTATTTTTTTTTAACTTTTTTCCCCTACCGTATTATTTTGATATTTGAATTTCTTTCCCTTTTGCCCCTTTTTATTGTTTTGTTTTGCGAACTTTTTTTTTTCTCTACCGTATTATTTTGATATATTTTTGAATTTTATTTTCCTTCTACCGTATTGTCTTGACTTTTCCCCATCAGTGGATACAGAATTTAAATACCGGACAAGCGCGTCGACATTTGGCGGATCGAGGACTGAGCGCTCAGGGAATATTGCCGGTTTTGCGGGCGCGCCTCCTTAGATACGAGACACGTGGTAGCGGGGAAATCGAAGAGGAGGAAGACACGATGTCTCTGGAGGACCACGGGGGTGCGAGGGCGCGAGAAGTTCTGGGGGAGGGCGCCGCAACCGACCTGAGGAGTCCACTGCCCGTGTGGGGGCAAGACATAAAATTCGTCGATGTCGCGGGGGGAGATGCCGGATACCGTCCAACCCCGCGTGAACCTGCGGCCGCGCAAACCTCGAGTTCTCGTCCGGGGAGGGCTTCGACGGCGGAGGCCTACAACCTGATGAGAAAATGGAACCTCCATTTTCCGGGCAAACGGGATAACGACGCGGAAGCCTTCTTATTACGGATTAAAGAGGCCCGCGCGATAGTCCCCATCTCAGACGCCGACCTTTTTAAGTGCCTACCTCTCTTCCTGTCGGAAGTCGCGTTATATTGGGTACGATTGGAAAGCGGGAACTGGCGAGATTGGAACGATTTTGAGGCAGCATGGAGGGGGCGATTCGGGGACCCTGACTATCAATACGCGCTTCGCGATGAGATATTCAGGCGGACACAGGGGGAATACGAAACCGCGGCCGACTATTTAACGTGTTTACGAGCCTTGCTTAGTCGGATGACGCCCCCCTGGCCGTTGGAGGAACAGCTAAATTTCGCACACCGCAATATGCTACCGCGGCTGCAAATAGCCATCCGACAACAGGAGTTTAGAGACTTCGCGACTTTAGAATACCTGGCTACGCGCATCGAAAAAAGCCTCCAAGCCGAAAAACACTACCGACCTCCCTTACCGCCGGAATAATCAATCTTTCCGGATTTGGCCTACCACGCGCTGAAGGGTAAGGCCAAAAACGCCGCTACCGTTGCTATCGCCAACGCTATCGCCACAAAGAAAGAGAGGAAGAAATCCGCTAAAACCCCGAGCGCGAATACCGTATCCGCTGATACCGCTACCGCTGCCGCTGCCGCTACCGAACCATCGACAAGCGCTGCCGTCATCCCTAACCCCCCCAGTAACATAAAATGCTGGAATTATGATAAGACGGGTCATCGTGCGTGCGGGTGTACTGAACCGCTTCGAAAATATTGTTACCGCTGCGGAAAACGCGATGCTACCGTCCAGACCTGCCCGACCTGCTCGAGAAACGAGAACCGGAGCCAGTAGAGAGGGTCCCTACGACTCCGAGTCCCGAGAGCGAGACCCAAATTACCACGTCAGATACCTTGGGGAACGATACGTTACTCCATTCGTATGTCACCCTGGGGAGGGAAGAGTTGCCGTCGCTAAGATTTTTCAAAATTAAGATATACAATTGCACTCTCGCGGCCCTCGTGGACTCGGGGTCTAATCGTACTTTACTTAGTCGCGAAGGGATAAAGATCATCCGAGAATTAAGACTGGATACCGAGAAGGGAAGAGAGGTGCAAATAAGAACAGCGAACGGACAAATCGCAAGTATAAGGGAGGAGATTAAAATACCGTTAGAATTGGAAGATCAGTGCCGTGAAGTTACCGTAGCGTTGTTACCGAATTTAACCGTCCCGTGTATTTTAGGATTAGATTTTCTGACGAAATTCGGAATCATATTAGATTTTGCCACTAATGGATGGTATTTTGCCGAATCACCACACAGGAGATATCGTTTAGTGACCGAAAAAGATCCACGCGAGAATTCTTGTTGCAGGATATCGGAGTTAACTCCCGCACAGGAAAAGACGTTGGAAATTTTTTTACGGACGTTACCGCCAACATCGGATAATCCCGGGGTGACACTTACCGAACATAGGATAGACGTGGGTGACACCAATAAAACAACGCTGTTACTTAGTGTCGCCTAAGGTTCAGGAAGCTATACGAGCGGAGACCGATAAGATGCTTCAGGCAGGAATTATCGAACCGTCGTATAGCGAGTGGTCGAACCCCATAGTAATGGTGAAAAAACCAAACTGAAAGTACCGCTTTTGTTTAGATTTCCGGAGAGTTAATGGCGTATCAAAGAAAGACGCGTATCCGCTACCGAATATGAAAGGGATTCTTGACAAGTTACGTTCAGCTCGCTATATTTCTATTGTACCATCGATTTGAGTCAGGCTTACTTCCAGATAGCCAAGGAACCCTTAGCGAGCCATTGACGCGGCTTTTGAAAAAGGGAAAACGCTGGGAGTGGGGGGATGAGCAGGGTCGCGCTTTTGACCGGATCCGAGACCACCTAATTACCGCACCGACATTAGCCTGTCCAGACTTCGAGTTACCGTTTACTCTGCATACCGATGCGAGTTCTGTGGGATTAGGCGCGGTATTGACTCAGACAGTTGAGGACGAAGAACGAGTGATAGCATTTGCGAGTCGAGCCTTGTCAGATCCCGAAACCTGATATTCCGTTATCGAGCAGGAATGTTTAGCAGTCGTGTGGGCAATACAGAAATTTAGACCATACTTGAAGGGATACCGTTTTACCGTCATTACCGACCATAGTAGCTTACGTTGGCTCCATAATCTTAAGAATCCCACAGGGAGATTAGCAAGATGGGCGTTAGAATTATTGGAGTACGATTATGAGGTGGTTCACCGGAAGGGCGCCTTACACCATGTGCCCGATGCACTCTCCCGGATGTTCGAATCGGAAGCTACTGAGGATACCGTACCGGCCGCGACAAATTCCGTTCACGTGACTGCCACTATAGATACCGTAGACTTGGCAAACACTACCGACGAGTGATATAAAGTAAAAGATATAAGGAAGTAATGGCGACTCCCGAAAAATACACGCAGTGGAAAGTGATTGATAGGCGATTATATTTTCTCAGGCCGAAACGCGTAGTCTCGGAAATTGTGGAAGATTTAGACCGTTGGAAGTTAGTGATACCGCGAGAATATCGAAAGGAAGTGCTAAAAGAATCGCACAATACGCCGCAGGCAGGCCACTTGGGTACCGAAAAATCTTACCAACGGGTTGCCGTTTCCTATTTTTGGCCGAACTTATTGCGGGAAGTTACCGATTATATTCGACAGTGTGATACATGCCAGCGAACGAAAGTCGAGCAGGCAAGTCTCGCGGATCTCATGGGACGCCGTATCGCGGATGGACCATGGGCGGCAATAGCGGCCGACATTATAGGCCCGTTACCGCGAAGTAAGGCTAGATTGCACTACCTCCTGGTAATCCAAGACCTTTTTACGAAATGGGTAGAGTGCAAACCCTTAAGAGCCGCGACAGGTCCAAAAATTAGCGAGGCAATCGACGACCTGGTGATATCGCGATGGGGAGCTCCGAAATTCTTATTAACGGACAACGGCACTGAATTCGTGAATAAAATTATGAAGACGTTTGCCGAAGATCGGAAAATCACACACACCGTGCCTCCGTATCACCCACAGACTAATCCCGTAGAGCACGTAAATCAAATCCTAAAAATGATGATTATCGCGTTTATTAAAAAGGATCATCGGGAATGGGATGAACACATCGCGGATTTTCGATTCGCATATAATACCGCCTGTCATTCATCATTGGGAGCCTCTTCCGCCTTTCTGAATCTCGGACGGGAGTTGGAGCCGGTACACTCGTTGAGCCGACGCAGTCAAGAGGCTACCGCAATTGAACCGGGTGATACCGCAAAATGAGCAACCCGAATGAGGGAGATGCAAGCCCTAAGGGACTAGGTAATCGAGAATTTAGATAGGGCCTACGAGAGGCAAGCCGCACGGTATAACTTATGTAGGCGTAATAATGCGTTCAAGGTGGGAGATCTGGTACTGAAACGCCAGCACGTTTTGTCGTCGGCGGCTCAAAATATAGCCGCCAAACTAGCACACAAATTCCAGGGCCCGTTTAAGGTAGTGCGAGTGATCTCTCCGGTGGTCTACGAGTTGGGGCTACTGGATGGGTCGCCCGCCGGTAAAAGTCACATTCAAGATTTAAAACCATATCACCTTCCCGATACCGTTATTTAGATGCCGAAAAACGTGATGGACCGAAGGGTCATGCGGAAAATCTGGCGTGAGTTCTGGTCACGTCACCAGTCCGTTTGGGAGCACATCGAATTCAACGATGAGGGCTTCTGGACGGACCTGGAGGACGTGGCCAGGCAGGTCCGAGCAGCCCGCTGGACGACGGACGGGGCCGTGGTGCGGGAGTGGCCGTCCACGCAAAGCACCTCGGCACAGACGGCGCCCGGCCAGGGGATCGCGCGGGGGACACAGACCAACCTCCCCGAGTCAGCCAAAGGATCAACGCCGCGGGGGCGTACTTGGTCGCTCGAGCGCCCCGCAAAGCCAGAACCGAGCTGGCAACCTCCTGAGCCATCCGCGGGACACCTGCCGCAACGTCAGCCTTGCACGGTGGGATGCTGGAACTGCGGTTCTTTCCAGCACTCGTATGCGCGTTGCCTCTTGCCTCGCACCGGTAACTTCTGCTACGGGTGTGGGCAACAGGGGGTGACGTTGCGGGACTGCGGGCGCTGTGGGGCCGCATATCGGCGCACCGCTCCTTATACGGCAACGCGGGGACCGCGAGCACCCCGATCCCCTCCGCCAGCGCGAGATGCGTCGCCTCTCAGGGATGGGTGGCCCTGGAGGAGGGACGTGGGTGAGAGATGGACGGAGGGACCCCTCCTCCGTTAAAGACCTTCATGTTTTCTTTTGTTATAGAATTCTCTGGCTCTGTTTCCTTTTCTTTGGCTTCTTGCCTCTTTAAAATTTTTTTTTCTCTTTTTCTTCTTTTTTTTCTTTTTCTTTTCTTTTCTTTTGGTTGTTGTGTTTTTTTCCCAGTGTCTTTTCTTTGATTATACACCGTTTTGTATTTTTTTTATGATGTACCGTTTTGTATTTGGTTTCGTTTCTTTTTTTGTTGTTTTGTGGCAAATTAGTCAATCCTAAGGGGTTGGAATAAATGAGTTCCGCCAACTTGACGCCAAGTTTTGATCAGTCCCCATAACCGTCTCCTGATCCCTCGTCTCCTTTCGGTTACCGAGAGCGGGGATACGTGGGCGGAGATACCGCGGGGACGCGACAACTAAAGTCGAGAACGGACATTACGAGGAATTGGAAACGTGTGATGGACTGTCGAAGTGCGGATCCCTGAAAGAAGCCCGAAGGGAAAAGTAGCCGCCTCGTTGCAGGGAATGGAAGTGAGGCTGCCTGAGCGACAGTCGTCGGTGTGCCGGGTTCTGAAGCCCCTCGGCACCCGTCTGAGAGGGGGGAGTTGTGACGTGATACTTTTGAGCTCCGTCACGGCACCTCCGCCGATGAGAGAAAGCGAGCGCGGGATCGTCTCTCGCGCCTGAGGGGGGCCGATAATATTCCGATTAAATGTATTTTCCAGCCTAGTTTTAAGTTTTTTAAGTAGAGTGCGGCAGTCCGTGCGAGCGTGCGTTATCTCTATATGTACATGAAGATCCCGTAAGATACCGAGTGAAGAAGAAGATATGTGAGGATCCCGAATATACCGCAGAGGAGGGACTCAGAATGGACCAAAGGTTATCGCAGAAAAAAAGAGGTCAGAAATAAAAGACGGCGGAGAATCCGGACGGCAAAGCCACGAGCAACCTCCCAGGCGGCCGACTGGCAAGCGGAGGCGAAGCAGACGAGGATACGACCTGGCCAGCCGGTCCCGTCTAAGCTAACAAGAGCTAACGTTTGAGACGTCGTCATCAGATTCTGGACCCCTGTGGAAGGGCAACCGACCGTCAGCAGCCAAAATTTTGAAGGGGTGGAGAGACGACCCCTTCTCGCTAATTTTGGAGAAGGTGCGCGGAAAATCGGCGCTGGAATCGAGGGCCTCGCGGCCCATTCCGTTCTCGGCACTGTTCGGCGAATCGTGAACCTGTGTAGACGACCCTGAAGAACGACCTCGAGGAGACGATCGCCCGGAAGCCGCCGCCGAATACTGTAAGCCGTCACACGGGTAGCTATAAGATTTCTTTGTTTCCCGGGGGCAGCTGGTGTCGCGATTCGGTATACCGTCGCGGGGTGACGATTATACCGTACTAGCGTGTAAAAAGCCGATGAGCTTAGTTCGCGTATAATTGCCGGACGCCAGCTGACGCCGGGGTCACGAATTTGTCCCTCTCAGGGGGGGTTCGTGCCGACAGTCATACCGTACCGTATCGTACCGTTTCGTATCGTATCGTTTTGTATTTGGTTTTATCGTACGTGTCGTGCCGAATTGCAAGTCCCAGCGGGGCGTGAAATTCTGGTCGTTCCGTACCGCGTAAGGAAAGCGGGAATTGCGCGGAGATTTTCTTGGCGAGCCTGGGTTATCGTAGAATTCGAAAAGCTGCTCTGCAAAAAAATTGGCGAACTCTCCGCCGAGAGATATGTAACCGTTATTATTTGTTTGAAATTATATTGCTTCGAGTCAGTTGTTACTGAGGATAAAAGGTCGCGATAAGACCGTTGAATAGAGCACAATAATATCCGCATTAATGTCCTCGAGATTACCGTTGCAAACAGCCTCTAATAAATATTGAATGTATTGTCGCTCGCTATTACGGATTATTGTAAAGAAAACGTCGATGCGATTTATATCGAAATCTTTTGGGAGACGTGTGTCTAGGAAATTATACCGAAATTATACTTAATTATTCTCCTGTAATCGTTATCCGCTATTACCGAATATCAGCATTCTAATCTACTGTTAAAAAATCACACAAAGTTTGGTTCGATTTATATCGAAATTGTACACGAGAGGCTGGTGCCTCCGAGTATGTTTTGAAATCATACGTGTCTGCTATATTCTGATCGTAATTCGGATCTCACAATTGATTACCGCTGATAACCGCTGATTATTGTGTAGAATATTATTTAATTTATACCGAAATCTCTTAGCGAGGTTCGTGCCTCGTAGCGTGTTCTGAAATCTGGCGTAATCTTGTCTATCGAGTGTTATAGATTACCTCGCCGTTAATTATTAAGTGATTCTTCTTACCGTGATTCGAGAAAAATTATATTCGTTTTCATATCGTTTTCACCGTGTATTGTAGTCGCGCATTATGAATAGATTATTTCCGTTATGATTACATGTGACCTTCGCGTTATCCGTTATAAGTCTTAAGTCCTTTGTCTTCCAAATTCGTATTATCAGCTGTTTATACTCCGAGATTTATCTGTTCTTTCTTAGTTTGTTTTTTTTATCTACCGAATTTTATATATCATATTATTCTTGTCTCTGTGACATTGTTTACTCTGTATTTTAACTGTTTAATATATTTTAAATAATTGTAAGTAAGATTAACTCAGTGTCGATTATTTCTCTCTTCCACACATTATCTAACGTTCTCTCTCTATACAGGGTTTGTCAAAAGTGTGGAAACCCCTAAATAACTTTTGTAAAAATGAAAATATCAAAAAACGGTAAAACACGTATTTTGATATTTCAAAAAAGCTACCCTATGACATGGATACCGATCATCCCCCACCCTCTGGTACGCGGGGGTAAGAGGGGGGTTGAAAATTTTAAATTGGACTAGGGGTCGAGGTTCATTTGAAAGGTCTTTTCATAATAAACACACCCTTAAAATTTTAAGTCGCTACGACCCTCGCATTAAAAATGGCGGCCGTTCAAATTTCGAAATTTCATGCACTTAGTGTTATCCAGGATCAACTGCGTGGAAGTGGCATGAATTTGATCCCTTGTGTGTGTGTGTGCGCGCGCGCGCGTGTGGCTAAACAAGTGTGAATGTGTACATTGTGGTAATAGATTGCAGAACAGACTTGAAAACTGTCATCTCTCTTTAATGATTCAAAACCTTTTACTCTGTGTTTTAAAATAAATTTTACTCAGTGTGTTAAAGTAAATGCTGAAAGTGAGAGCTGAGAGTGGTTGCCATTTACTTCCTGACAATATGCCAATCTTTGATAGAATGCAGAAGTGGCTCTACGATTCGTTTCAAAAAGTATCAAATCTATTTCATCCCTTATTCGCTGTATCAATTCTTGGATGCTTTCAGGTTTTGTTTTGTACACCTCGGTCACCAGATCTAACTCCTCTTGATTATTATCTATGGGGATACCTGAAAAGTAAGGTATACAAAACAAAACGCTCATCGAACGGGAATAAACGATCATCGAACGACTGTCGAACGCCTGTCGAACGGCTATCGAATGGTTATCGAACGCCTATCGAACGGGAATAAATGTCCGCCGAACGGCTATCGAACCATAATTGAATGGTCATCGAATGAAAATGAACGACCATCGAACGGTTATCGAACAGAAATAAACGATCGTCGAACGGAAATGAACGACTGTTGAATGGAAATCAACGGCTATAAAACACAAAAGTACATATATTCTATTATCAATTATTTTAATGTATTAAAATGTAACACCATGAATCGAAATACAATATCTGTGGCAGCTGTGTCACGTACGAAAACGTACGGATACTGTGCACGTACAAAGATAAGGAAAAGGAAAGAAAGAAGAGAATAAGAAAGACGATAAAAATATATCGCATCATCAATTTGTTATAAATATGGATTCGAAGAATTATTATCATGATGTTTCAACCACCAATTATAAATCTTAAATACATTTTGTAAAGTGCAATTTTTTACATGATTTTCACAATGCATAGTATTCTTAACATTTAACTTATTTAAAGAAGCTATATCCTCATACTCTGCATCCAAAGTTTCGATAATAACATCGTTTTCTTGCATCATCACCTAGTATATCGGCCATTGTCGTTTTTCGTGCCCTTTAACATATACGAGGAGTGACGCATCATCTTCCTCTGTCGCATTCATCACTGCCGTCGTAATTAAACGTTTCGATTTCCAATATGAAACGTGTTCATCATCCCACGATAATCTATGCTGATTTTTAATCAGCCATAAAACCTGGTATCTCTCAGATTTTGTGAGCGCGTGCCATGGTACGAGACATGTAAAAATATAATGAAAGTATGGATTCTTTTCTCAGAACCGCAACATCTTTCCCGACAAAATTTCTCCCGATAATAAATCCTTGTAGATTCACAAACGTTGGTGCAGTCATGATGACAAGATTTGATCGCAGACTGATGTCGATCGTAAAACATTTCAATCTTTTATATTTTTCTTCATGTGCATTGGAGGGAAAAAATATCGTTATAATAAATAGTAACATCATTATTTTGATAAAATCGAATCTAAACTACATAATATACAATTGGATTTGATCAATCTTCTTTAAATTAGAACTGCTTAATCTTCTCTTTTTTAATGATTTGAATCGACAATAAAGAAAATCTCGAAATTCAATAATCTTAGACTTTCAGGGAATTATAGAGTGAATTGACTTATTCCTGCTATGAAATTATTATTTTTTTTTAGATTTACACATATAGTAGATTAATA